TGAGTTGAACCAATTTGAAAAATTTGATATAAATGTGTAATATAATAAGCAAGTGTTATGTACTTTTTTTTAAAAAAATACTCAGTTTAATTAATACTAGAGAGTTCAAATACAAAAGAGTTCTATTAATAATCTTTATCGAAAGGATTATTAAAGGAATAGGTAGATAGTGAATTAGATCAAGTAAACATGAACTGTATTGTAATCCCTCTCGATTAGTTAGCTGGAAACTTGTTATTTGGTTTTTCTGAAATATTCTCCATTACATTATTTCCATGGATAAATTTTACTTAACTGTATCCGTTTTTTGTAACCACTCTGTAGTTTATGATAGTTATTTTAGAAACCTCCAAAACTTATCATAAATAAAATTTGAAGAGATTTTTTTTTCAGATAAATAATGGCCTGATAGATGTTTCTTTGTAATAGATGGCTTTTTCCTGTGGTGTACATTGTCAAACTTTTATGACATTATAAATCCATTTTCAAAAAATAAACTAAATTCATTTGGTTACTTGATTGCGATTCAATGATTATATGCCCACAAATGCTCTGGTATGACCGAGAATGGAGAGAGTCAGCTCTCCCTCTCGAAATGCTCTCACATGGCGAGGGTGTTGTTTACGAAATTGAGAGGACGAAAAGCGAACGTCCGGCGCTTTAACCAGGCTGGTGGACATAGAGAGTCCACCTAGGGGAGTTGCAAAACCCTGATTCCAAACCAATGGTGCACATGGGCTCCAGTATCCTGAAGGAACAAATGGCGTATGGGACTGTATCTCCTTACGTTGCTCCACTGTCTTGTGGATCAGACCTTCAGGTCGAAGGCTTGGGGTGTGGCCCCCTAAGAAAACCACCACTCCCGGTTTGGGCACCCGAGTAGTATCACAGCCTTCACACATATCAAGTGAGATTTGTGTGGCGCAAATGTATTTGCTGCCTCCTTGTACCAATATCTATGTGTCAAAATAAATAAATAAAAACAATGATTATATGTTTGTTCAGATTTGTACATATTATTAACTTTACATACGTCTTCTTATGGAATTTCAAGTAAAAAAATCTAGAGAAATTGATACAGATTATATTTTAAAATTTAAGTAAAACTGAATGAATAACTTACTCAAATTCATACAGCTTTAGTGGGAACCGAATTCGGACACACACACACATACACATTATGAAACATTTGACTGAATTAAAAATATTTATTTGAAAAATCTCAAGACATTTGATATTATGTAGAATATTACATAGTGACTAAGCAAGGGTAATCGATATCGCCACGTTTAATTTTCACTCTTATGGTTATCAAAGATTAAAAGTTTAAGTTTAATTTATTATTATTTTAGAAAATGAATATATTAGAATCATTTGGTGATATGCACTTCCAATACGGTACATTTTATGCCCTTCTTGATTATATCTTCATAACATTTGTGAGTAATGAATAACAGAGAACTTCAGACTCAAACGGTGTTTTGTAGCACACTACGAAAAGATACTACACACACACTAGTATACGTGAACTGAAGAAGATTCTAGCAAGATCTTGTATTTACAAGGAGTTCAAAGAGTAAATAGTTTGTGAGTATTCTCCATCCAACTTTGTCCTGGGCAATCCTTTCCAGTTACCATTCATTCTTTTCATGTCCGCTTCTAACTCCCGATGCAGTGTGTTATTCAGCCTTCCTCTTTTACACTTCCCTTCAGGACTCCAGGTAAGCGCTTGTCTGGTGATGTAGTTTGATGATTTACATAATGTGTGTCCTATCCAGATCCAGCTTCTTTTCATAATTTCCTTTTCACCTGGAAGTTGGTTTGTTCTCTCTCCCAGTAGGCTGTTGTTGAGGGTATCCGGTCAACGGATATTGAGTATCTTGCGAAGACAACTGTTTATAAATATGTGTACCTTTTTGATGATAGTTATGGTAATTCTCCAGGTTTCAGCTCCATACAGCAGAACTGTTTTGAAGTTCGTACTGAAAGTTCTCACTTTGATATTAGTTAACAGTTGTTTTGAGTTCCATATGTTCTTCTGGTCTGCTTGAATATAAATTGAAATATAACATTCATATAATGGAGTCTGATTACTGTGTTCTGGGCTTAACGAGAAGAGCAGGGAGAGAAGCTTCTGTGTTGAGGACTGTTAAGCATTTAGAGCTAACTCAAAGCTGCTAGTGCTGGTTGGCGTATAATAGGTTAGCTCCAGGATAAAACCATAGAAATTGATATTTTGATTGGTGGTTTTGTAACTTAATATTAGACAGGGTCATAATTCATAACAAATATAACTTTCATCATACATTCTCAAGAGTTTGTAACTTAATATCGATCTTATTCTGCTTCAATACTTTCTATATTTATGAGTGATTTTTTTCTTGATTCTCTTAACATAAGACAAGTGGATGTGAAAAGTTTTAACTTGAGAAATAAAAGAAGATAGCATAGAATCTTAGGAGTGATCTCAACACTTGAATTATACATTTTTATCGATTAATTGTACAGATCTTCACAATTAAAATTATATTCAGTTATTATAATTATTCAAAGGATTCACTATCATTGATTTAGTTTTACAAAATTCTCACTCATGCTGCTAAACTATGATCACAAACGTCTGAAATAGTCAGTAAAAGCATAAACTGTTTCTTTAATAAAGAATATTATTCGAATGAACACTTTCAGATAAGCTAATAAAGTAAATATGTTAGCTCATTAAGGAATATAATACAAAGAAATATTATTTAAATACATAAAACAGAAGTAAAGAAATGATATTGTTGATAGTTTAGATTATGAATTGATAAACTAGTGATCTAAGGTTTATATTCTGTTTTACAGAGTGAATTATTTTTGGAAGCCTAAATATTTTATTCATTTTTATATTGTATAATAAGTAACGATGAAGAGGATTTTTAGTTCAGATAATGCTTTCGAATGTATTGTGTTCTCAATTTTAGATAGTTAACCTGAAAAAGCTTGTACGTAAAGTAGGCGCTATTGACATTGTTCAAAGTACAAAAACCACGAAAGGTATTTACCTGAGATAGGAATATTTTCTACTGTTTCATTCTGTTTCAAGATTGACTGAAAGTCATAAAAGGATATACTTCAACGGTGGTTGAGTTCAATTATCCAAGTTACGATGTACAAAATACTACAATAAAGGAGTCAATAACTTCTTTATGTAATATACATTCACCACATCTATTTAAGTATTAAGTTGATTGATTTTGGTACATTTGAACGAGATTTTCTTACTTTGATCCATAGTTACTGAGTGATATTAGATGTCATTATCTATAACCATGTAATTTGAATACAGAGAGAGAGATTCAGGTCAACGAATAAGAATTATTAGTATAATTAAAATAGATTTAGACATCGATCAATAGTATGGTTGATATGACGGGAAGAAAAGTCAAAATTAGATTGATTTACTCATTATGCTTTTTGTTCAACAGTATTTCCGTTTTAATTCAATGTGATGATTACTCAATGTGGTATTTGTTTCTGTTTTCCAGTGTGATCTTTTATTCTGTGTATAATATACAATATTCTTGCATTAAATTAACATGAACTATACTCAGCATGACATGTAGCATGTGATTTGTTATAACTAAGTATTTTTTGTATATGTGATTTCATCTTAATTCTTAATCAAAATGGGTGTACAATCAATATATAAATCAGTGTATTTCCGACTGGGGTCATCGACGTCGTATCTTGAGGTTAGTAAATCTTCATTTTTACCTGTCTTTGTGTTCTTACTTTCGTGCCGTGGGAATTGCAGTGGTTACTCTTTTTCAATTGTAAGTGGTAAGCAATTCCGACATAACAATTAGCGATCACCAAATATAACAAAATTAGCGTTCAATCTAGAAGCCATATCAGTTAGTAAGTCAATAATGGTAATACATTTTTTAATTAAATAAAATAGACTAGAATCAGTTACACAAGGATTGATAATCTTATGCCTATATCACTGATTTATACTAGCATACAAGAATACATATGATCATTACGAACTTGAGCACACTATCAAAACAATGAAATTAAGTAGTTCGATCCAAGTTTATAATCGATATAACAAAATGCGATATAATCTCATAATTTATATTGTTTTTCTAAACTATGAGATAAAGAAAAAATAATTTCCTGTAAAGTTTTGGAGATTGGTAGATTTCAACGAAATTATAAACCGATTGAAGTTAGACAACGATTGATAACCTAGAAGCACAGGACAGCCATTTTGTCCTAGTATGGGATTACTCTGTATACAGAAATCAAACCAAGAACCTTCAACCTTGTGTTCAGATGCTTAATCTCTAAACAACTGAGCTAACAACCACTGGTGTTTATGTCTAACTTCAATCAATCCACGACATAGCGCGATTATCTTTAGTTTTCTTCGGTGGGTAATATCCTCACATTAGGCACAAGTTAGCTAAGTGAGACAGTAACATTAATGAGGAGTCCCTTACTGGGGCGCAATGGCCATCCAGTGCCCCCAGATTTTCACTGGTTGTTTAACTTAGATGAATTCATGTATTCAAAGAAACTACCTGGTGTAAATGTATATTCTTTGTGGTTGACATGTAACTCAGTGATAAAAAATGATGAAATCTAAGAACTAAACAGTTTTTAAAAATTCTCAATAAGTATATCTACACAGAGGAAAGTATTAATTATTTAACTAAATGACACGATCGTAAATTCTACCACTCTATAGGTTAGTTTAACTCATTCTCGACAATTCTTATAATCAGAGTACATTTGTTTCATTTAAATAGCCTTAAATTCCTAGATAGAATTCATGTTGCCACTTTCAAAGTCTGTCACTACTGCATATTATTTAAACGACAAAGACTTGTAATAAAATTCCTCAGCAAATTACATAATGCTTCTTGAATAGTTCTTAGCATACCATAACTATAGTTTCGAAAAATATTTAGTCAACAAAACATGCATATATATTGCACATTACTTAAAACATACCGTCTTATACTAAATATTATGAATAAAATGAACGTGAATAAATCAGTTTACTTGATGACACGTCTGCACTGGTATTTGAATGACCTAGGTTCTCAACCCAACGGTTTAAAGACGCATTTGACTGAAAAACTGAATAAACGTAGCAGCTTATATTTTATAGGATATTATTGTTCATTAGGACACATTTTGACGAAAAGACATCGTTTCTCACGCCGATTTCTTCTCACTTTGATGGAACTTTCTAATCTAACAGCACATAACCGACTGTTAATGGGGATCCAATCGATTAGTGCTGCCTCAGCTCTAGCTATTAGTGCGACACCAAGGCCAGCAAGACCAGACGAAGATGCCACAGGGTCCCCGGATAAACGCACGTAAAACAAGCTTTTTGAAGCGACAGATGGAGAGTGAATTTGTAGTACTTCACTAGAGTCATGAATACGGGTCTCGGATAGACAACAAACATCGATATGAAGACTTTCTAAAGACATAGTCAGCCCTATCTGTTGTCCAACCTGCATAAGTGTGAGAACGTTTAAGGCAGCCAGTTTGAATGGTGCACGTGGTTTCAGAAACACTGCTTTAGTACTCGTATTCGGTGGTAACATACAATTTTCAACCGGACACTGACTCGAGAACGTTTAGATAGAGCCGAATTTCCACCATAGGCGAGCTGCTGTATAAGTCGAACAAATAAGTATAAACAGAGTGGGAATAAAAGAGGGTGAATAATGACGTAGTAAATAATGATAATAATAATGATAATAACATTAATAATAATAATAATAATAATAATAATAATAATAATAATAATAATAATAATAATAATAATGCGAGTCACTTGATTGTTATTTGGAGTGAGAGGAATATTTTCCATAAGTAGACAGTTTATCATGTTTTTGTGTGCGGGCTGAGATACTGCCCGAGTGCCCAAACCGAAGCAGGTGGTTTTCTTAGGGGACCACACCCCGAGCCTTTGACCTAAACGTCTAACCCATAAGGCAATGGAGCATCGTGAGGAGATGCAGTCCCATGGTAGCCGGTGACCAAGGAATTGGTTCATACGCCATTTGTTCCTGCAGGATACTGGAGCCCATGTGCACCATTGATTTGGGATCCGGTTAAAACACCGGGCATTCGCTTTTCATCTCATTTTCGTAAACAACACCCCCGCCACGAGAAGACAGTGAGTAGGACTTCCCTGGCAGAGGCTGTATAAGCGTGGCCGTATGAGAGTATTTCGAGGGGAAGGGCGAACCCACCCCGCTCGCGGCCATACTAGGGCATTTGGGAGCTGACTTCATGGACTGATGCCACGTTTCATTTGGCCGCATTTAACTCTCTTGCAAACCATTTCTGCACTAGCAAGTATCAATCACCAAGGTATGACGTGGTTAAACATATATAACACATTCCAATCATTTTTCAACCAAGTTTCACTACCTCATCAACACATCAACCAACATTTCCAGGTATTTCTAAACCAAATCTTAACATTGCTCATTAGATCATTCCAATTAGCACGAGCAACTCTTTGAAGATACCTATGATCACAGATCTACAGCCTATGTGAGTCTTTTACTTTCTCAGAACATGTGTCATACTTATGAAGTAGAACATAGTGGTTCGCTGTGCAGCATACACCCCGTTTGGTTAGGAGGCGGATATCTCACTAATCCAACAACTGATGAACGTTGCCAAATCCCAACTAGCTTTTCTGAACCCGTTTAAGCATTTCGTCAGACACCAACCTTTTGAGGTTGGTCAGACTTCCGAGATAAGTGAGACAGTCAACGCGCTCATCTACTTCACTCTCTGTCACTAGTTTGGAGATCGACGTAGACAAGTCCTAAAACAGCATTTCGCATTTATTAGGACATCCCAAACATGAATGTATCATTGCTCAAGGCGAAAAATTTCATTTTATCAGAAGCTTTATCAAACAGAACTATATGATCGAAAAGCAGACCAATTGGAAGGGGATTAGCCCTGAACAACCCCACTTGAAGTTGACAGTTCTGGTAATAGCTAATCATAAGCTCTGACCTAATCAATAGTACATGGATAGAGAGCTTTCATTTGATTCTAGGGTCTCATCCAGTGAAGTCCGTTGTCCGACTGGACTCACGGTTCAAACATCAAAACATTCCAAAATGTTGTTCAAATCGTGGATTCAGGAGGCATATTGTGAATGTGGACTACTATCATTGGAGGCACATACTGAAGAAGTCAAAGATAAATGAGGGTTGATAATGGAAGTAGGAGTAATATTTGGTGATGAAGATGGGATTTGATTATGAATTTTGTAATCTCGTATGATATTTGAAAAAAGAGTTATTATTTTACAGTTGCGCACATTGTAAGAGACTTACGTTGAGAGATATGAGAAAAAAACTGGGTTGAGAGTGATCTTATTGATTAAGGTGTGACTGCAGAAATCAAAAAGTAACTTCATGAGGCCGATCATCCACGGACTTTGTGTGATGAGTCTTTGACATGCTAACTCCGTGCTTTACAAAGGGGTGTGGATTAGAGTGAGGAGTAACACTTTTTAACTCGTTCCTCCCTTTTGAGAGGGAAACACCTTACTTTTATCACACCGCTCTATATTCATCAGAAAAACCTCGCTATCGGACTGCACAGAACTCCGGTCAACCTTCCAGGAATGAATGTGCTTCAGTCATTAGAGCTTGACCGGTTCGTTAAGATATCTAAGCCCGTTCATTATGTCGAGTTAGTGGCTACGGTTGAGACTCAGCTTAGTAATAGTGAAAATACAGGCTGAAGGAAGATGCATTTCTTAAAATGAGTAATGGGTCTACAACGAGAGTAGCAATATTGTGCACTTTCCATCTCCGGAAATGGTCTCTTCCGATCCTTTTAACATTTTTGACTTCTGGACATCAGTGTAAACTACCCAATTACGATTGGCTTGGACCCAGTGCTCTTCTACGGTGGAACCATCAAGTTAGCAATTATGAGTTTGGGTGTAATTTACTATATAGATATATAGAATTGGTCAATAAGGTAGTGAATGCATGCCTAAACACCCTTTACCTCGATCTTTAATGATGGGATTATGGGGTTGGAAAGCGACGAAGCGAAAACATGAGAATAACTTATAGGATAACACTGCTGAACTAAATGACGTCGAAATGCGCAGACCACAACGTCATGCACTTCCTAGCGTACTTAAGTGAGATGAATCACAATCGAACTCAGTAGTCAGAATGGATTGCTTTAACTTATTCTTACGAAAGTCGAGTTACAATGAAATTTCATACATCAGATTACTTTGTTTTATTTAAATCTTTACTATCCACGAGAAAATGGTTACAGGTCTTTGAAACGCTCATTTTTACGTTATGCGCTGACCTAAAGAACGGCAACTTAGGCCGAGAGAACTGTGTCAGCGAGTTGACCCATATGTATAAAGCGTACATGAGTTGAGTTATTTGCAGACGCCGTTTGTAGTAGAATGATTGTGAGACTTAATCAGCAACCAATACTTTAATTATCCAATTTTAATACAACTGAGTAATCGAACGGACATCAATACCACTGACTTGCAACAGAAGCTTTGTCAAAAGTTGATGATAATAGATATAATAGAGCGAAATAATTGATGCATAGTATGAACTTGATAGCTGAAAATTAGTTACGTCAAATACTATGCCTATAACATGAAAAATAAGATAATATACCTTTCAAGCCCTGAATGAATTTGGTACATGGCAATTACGACTAGATAATACTATCATTTCCAAATTCTAAAAAGCCTTAAAGAATCTGTACATTCCATTACGTGATGTTCTTGATAAGATATGCTGACAAGGTGATTCTATGTAGCAAATAATCTGTGGAGAAAAAAATTTACTGTAAGAACTGTTAGACATCTTTTAACCGTTTAGGTGAGTATGAGACAGTTGTTAATTAATACAGATGTGAGAAGTGACATTTGAACATCACGTATGTGATGCACGAATATCTACAGAAAATAATCACTGTTATTAAAATTTTCCACTTCTAAATTGAAAATATCTATGAACTAAACGATAGCTAGAAAATGGCTTTTTGTACTATGTGCAATAGTCTGTGAAGATGAAAATTGTACGTCATTACTTAAAAAACTAAATTTATCAGCAGCACAAAACAACATGAATTATTCGAAGAGACCAGACAATAACATGCCTTATGATAACAGTTATGGGCGTTTGCAGAAGGGCCAAAGTTATCTTACCTCAGTAAACAAGACATTAAATTGCATGAATAACACCCGAACAAATAAAATACGTGATTCTAACCTCATTTAATTTCTGGTTTGTCATACTTCAAGAATGAGAGTACAGAACCGGAGGAACCCCCATTATTCGCGAGTTTCAAAACTCCCAGACTACATTAACTACCTAAGGTCATTGCAATTATTATTTCAAACATTTTGAAAAAATAATAAACAACCGTAAATCTGTGCCCCACTTCGTTTTTAACGTTCAACGCACAAACTGAATAAAAAATTTAACTTGATTTTATTCATTTATCGATTAGATTCTGAACGAAATAGCATAATTTTTTCGTGAATTTCATTTCAGGCTCAAACTTTATATTTGTTTCCTATTTCAACCCGAAAAACTAAAAATCGTAATGAAATTGTGCCCATAGAAGGTAGATTCAGATGATCGCAGTGAACTACTCAATGTAAATCATGTTCTTACTTTCTCCGTGAGCACTAATTAAAAAGACATTGGTATTTTTCCTCGCTGAGTAAGCCCTCAAACGGTTCAGTAAAAACTGTTGTGTATGGCTTTGTCAATAGTTCTGTTCGGATGCAAAAAGCTTGCTAACCGAGGCCATCTCATTGGTAAATTCTGAAAAACGTTTTTTGACAAGCGTGGTCGGGGCACATCGGACAGTACTGGTTTCGTGCCTCTAAGTAACCCTCGTGCTATTGATAGAAAAAACCAAACAAGTAGTGAATAGGTACTTATTTTGATTTTCGCTCAGTCACAGTGGAGCATGGGATAATTTGTTCAGACAAGCAAAGCCTCTCAACATTCAATGTAAGATAATAGGAAATATAACGCCTATACAAAATAAGGAGGTGAATGAACAATTGAACTATACTGTTTTGAAATATGCTTAGTTGTTTGAGGTGAACTCTTAACCAACCAATCTAAGCTATTACACACGTTCGGTCGAAACGCGAACTGGTGTGAAGCAAACTCAAGTGAGTTCGAAAACAGCTGACTCACACCTACCAAAGAAGGAAAAATAGTCTTCAAAAAGGTCTATCTCAACTAAAAACACAAGAAAAGAAGTTTCTTCTATTTCCAGTCTTCTAAATGGTATCCAACAGGAAACGTCAAGAAGCCGCAGTCTCGAGGCTCGATCGGTTTCTAGCGGGAAACATAACCTGACCTTCCAAGTCGCTGACAACCCTCGAGAGTCCCGCAGTATGTTTGACGCGACTGTGGTTGCTTCTCAAGGCAACGTTGACGAATGGGTACAGGTTGTAGGGAAGAAACAACATAAAGATATAAAAGGGAAATTTTTCCCCGTAAAAGTAGTCGAGAAATCGAATGCTGATCACAGTGACATATCAGTTATTTTTCATACAATCAAGGAGAGTGTTACCTCTGAACCAAAAACTCGTTTTGAGTATGACAGAATGCTGATAAAACAGCTACTTAATCAATTCATGCCCCAAAATATCTCCGGAGTCACCTTGCTAAAGGTGTACAGACTAGGTAGCCAATCGAACTTGAAGCCTAGTCAATCCAGACTGCTTAGAGTAGTATTCAAATCTTCGAATGAAAGCGACCTGATTTTACAGAATGGACATGGATGAAAGGGTTCAGAAGTTTTTTCTGTAAGATTGTGTAAAAAGAGGGAAAGCCGAAAAAGAACCACAACTTGGGTCAGACACTGGAAAAAACTATATAAAAATTGTAAATTTTCGGGTTGTAAGGCTTCGACAGAGAAAGATGTTGAGATCGCTATGGGTAAATCACGGAGCCACTTAAATGGGCTTCGGATCTACTACACTAATGCCCGAAGCCTACCCAATAAGCGATCGGAACTAGGTGTACAGACTGACTGTACAAAGCCAGACATAATCGCAGTCACAGAAACCTGGCTGACACAGTCTATAGATAGTATGGAATTTGATTTCGAAGGCTTTACGTTAGTAAGAGCCGACAGAACACAAAAGAGTAAAGGCTGGGGAGTGGCTTTATTCATTAGGAATTCTATCCCATTTGCCATTATCGACAATGTATCCCAAGAGAGTGGGACGTGTGAATTAGTTTTTTGCCGCTTGAAATGCAAAGGACAAGGG